ATAACTAAACTCTGATTAGTACCGTCTGCGAAGCAGCGCAGAGATCCTTGTTCTGAACCCCCAACAGACTCAACGAATTACCGGAAGTGCGTTTCGAATTTCCCTTCAACCTGATTGGCGATCACGACAAACAAAACAAAGGCCTTTTTTAACTGGCCAATCGTGGCGCGTACTCAAATCTGGGTACACAGCTGGAAGTCCAGAACAAGGATTTCGGCGCTGTTTCGCAGACGGAGTTAACCAGAGTTTAATTTCGTCTGCGCGCAGGCTAGGGAGATCAGAGAATTCTCCGATTACTATACAGGATTCTTTGGCTAACGTTCGGTAGCCTTTGATTAGTTTTCACTCAGATGTGGAGCCTGTTTTAAAATGTTCTCCTGTAACGTTACACCTTTCTCCTTCTACTAGAAAACCCTGGGTGAGTCAGCCATTTCAACCCTCAAGTTTTTTTTCTCTTTTGTTTTCAGTGCAATACAAGACACAATGGAGTGTCCATCACTAAGACTGATGACAAAACTAAAGCAGATATACAGCACAGAAGGAGATCAACAAGTTAACCACAATAACAGGCTTTACCTAACTTCTTCTTTATATTCGAATCAGGAACCAGTCATCTTTCAGGTGGGAACTGAATGCTTTTGTGCAACAGCAACAATAATTTAATTGCTGTCCTTTTTTCATGAGGTTCAGAAATATTTTGATTGAAGTGCTGAGGGTATGTAATCCACCTTATTGTCAAAAATCATGTCTCCTCTCTCTTCAGGGTAAATGAGACGGGACAGTGGATCCAAACATACTGTCTTTGGTGCCTTGCATTCCCAGATCCCACTCATTTTTTTCTTTGCTTCCTACCCTTGGCATAATTTCCCGTAGGTTGCTATAGTTTGCAAGGCCGTCTCCTAGCCACCAAGAATTAAGACTTGGAAAGATGCTGCGAGAGACTAGCTATTGAGAAGGCTACAAATGACAAATGAATTTTCCTCTCCCTATTGTCACCAGGGTTGCTTATTTTTCTGTTGTTGTTTATAACTTTTTCTCTTATAACCTCTTTAGCTGTTTCCTGCCGAGAATGGTTGGCCTTTTCCCAAGTTGTATGGATTCTGTGGCCGAGCAGTTGTTGTTGAGGATGCTGGTCTTCCTCTTGATTTGTTTCTGTCAGAACCTTGGATAGAGAGAGCAAAGCTTGCCTTAGAAGTTATCAAGATAGCAAAACGATTGACAAGCAATCAAGAACATTGGGGACTGTATTTGAAGGAGGTTTCTATGGGTAATTTTGCAGTATCCACTAACAGGACAGTGAAGCTGGTTGATGCAGAGCAAGTATTGGTGGTGGATCTGACAGAGTCAAATGTCACAGGTAGATTTGCAAATGGTCATGTAGTTTTCATAATATAGAAAGGGGGATTGTTAAAATTAGCTGAAATCAGCCCTATGTAACAAAATGGTTCATCTTGAGAAAAAATATCATCTTTCTCAAATAAGCAATTGAAATGTAGGTATTTGTTTATAAGAGGGTGCTTACTACATTATATTTCACAAACTAACAGCGTTGGACGTAGGCCATCCCCATTGACTTGGCGCACGTTTTGTGCAACACGGGGCCAGGGTTTTATGAAACTATTCAAGCCATCCCTCCATCTCATTCTTGGTCTTCCTTGATTTCTTGTGTGTCCATGGGGTGTCCAGAACCTAATACGGGTTGTCCAACGGTTGCCTGTTCTTCTCGCCACATGACCAGTCCAATTCCATATGAGTTTGCTTATCATTTCCATGCTATCTCTTTCTTTGGTTTTTTCCAGTCTAGTCCATACGCAAATGGCTAGGGATGTCAGAATCACTTCATAGACGGCGGAGCAGGGGGGCAGGGGGGTGTGTAGCCCCCCAAACAAAAACTTGGGGTAGCAGACCCCCCCCCCCGCCCCAATGTTTTGGTGCCAAAAAAACACTTTTACGTGTGAATTACAATACCTGTGACATCAGCGACTTCATAGCCCTCATTTTTTGCCCTCAGAGGGGACTCAATAACTACCTATGAAGCACAATGAAGCAGGACCGTCTGAACAACTGCCTTCTGAGTACTGATGTATTATCACAAATCGATTACGGACACACTAGATTGCAAAGAGGTTTCTTTATGCCAACGAACAAGGCAAAGGGCATTTTAAAAAACCTGAGTTAGGGGTATGCGCATTGATGAGTGGACGATCAGGCTCCCCCCCCTACCCCCGCCACGTTTCAAAAGGCTCCGCCGCCTCAGCATTTTTATCTGTTTTTTCTTTTTTGTAGCTGAAAAGAAAAAGACCAATAACCAGTGTGCAAACACAGAGGTGAAATGCTTGTCTTTTTTCCCAATTGAGCTCTGCCAAGGGACAATACGAGATCAAAACTATTACGCCGTTTGCCGCAGTGTATTAGCAGATATTGGGAGCAGACGAGGCCTGTTACATTCCCCTCCAGAGGAAAACGATTTTAAAGTGATGCTTCACGACGCATTGACCGGATGTGTAGAGGCAAAGAAGATTAGAAGAACGGAAGCTATTGAACTTGTTATGGGCTTACTACAGAGCAAAATAAATCAAGCAAGTGGGAAATAGTAATTATTTTGTTCTTAGCACACGTATGTTTTGTTACCTACGGAAAAAGGGCATGGACATATATTTAACAGTTGTTGTTATTATTATTGAAAAAAAAAAAAGAATTATTGGAACTATACTTATTTAAGAAAACGATAATATATTTTCAAAGTGGGATGTAAACTAAAAAAGGTTCCTTTTGTGTTGACAAATATATACCCAGTCTCA